CTTTTGAGGCCTGCATCTATTAATGCAAACTAATAATAATCGCTTGGGCCTCCCTACAGACAGAGGAGTCAAAGTTTTCGGTCCTGGCATTATTTATATAATCATATTATGTTAAAGGACCTCTTTGTAGCTACATGCAGCCTAGATACAAAGTTTGGTGGCCAGGGGAGAACTTCTACATTGTTCGTAGCCCTAGGCTGGAGATGATGACTGTGTGCCCTCTGTGTACATGCCATGAAAGGCCATGGAATGTTCCAGCGTGATGTCTATAGTGAAGCTGCAGTGTCCCATAATGGACATGCAGCAAGGCTCCACAGCACAGAGAGTAAGATGTATTTATATACGAAGCACATGGCTCCCTTCTATTAAAAGTATCTGGGCATATTTATCTCAATGGGCTTTGAATGCAAAGAGCAATCAGCAGGAGCTGAGCTGAATCCACTGTGGATAGGGTTATGCACCGATTTAAGTTGTTAACTTCAAGTGGGAGAACAGCAGCTCAGATAAAGCATTTTCAAAAAAACCACAAATATAATTTTTGGCTACATGTTTTCTAAACCGCCCCCCCCATGTAATAGGAAAGCAACATCTCTATAATTGGCACTTGACATGCTGTTTGCGTTGGGCTGTGGTACACCAAGCACAGATTTCCTGTTGATGGAAACATTTATCATCCTGATTGCCCCAGAGTGGCAGGTGGTGTTATCAATTACCTCTTCTTACCAATAATAATATTAGTATGGTAATATCTTTGCTCAAGTGAGAACCAATTAGCAGTCACTTGTCACAGCATTAAAGACACAAAATCATGCTGAATTTAACCCAAAGGACCTAAAACAAAAGTTGGGGGTGGGGAAGGAACCAGAGGGAGGGAGAGGTAGCTAGGGAGTAGGAAAAAAAAAAAAGAGAACTTTGGGGTGGGGGATGGGGGGTGAAAAAAGACAGAAAATGAAAGCCCTAATATTTGAATACCTATTTTGTGTGAAGGGACTGGGGAAATAAACACATTGTAAACAAAAATGTCAAGTGTACCTATGTAAAACTGCCTTTCCTGTGACTCTAGAGCCGGGTAGCTGCAATAAACAATGATTGTGAAGTCAGAACCAACTATTCAACTTGCCTTGTCAAGTCAATCTTGCAGACTGGCTTTCTGTTTTATCTGAAGAAATGATACAAATTAATTCAAACACCTAATTATATGTTCCATTAATGTAAAATATACAGTATTAATTTGTAAATAATATCATTAAGCAGACAAAATAATAATGTGTCACCTCTTAAGATGAAAACAACATTGCAAGAGGAAAGACAATTAACAAATTAGATTTAATTACAGGGAAGAAAAGCAACTTTTGTTTTTACAATAGTGCTTAGGTATTGCAATATTTTAATAGACAGTAGTCATGTGATGTGTGCATGTTCAGTGTGTCTACAGCAGAGAGCTTACACCTCTTCTGTGTATTAACCTGGGAACAGCCAGAGCCCACTTTCTGTCTCATCTATGAAAAGACTCCAAGACACATTGTCACTTTGCAATATACTGTTTCTGCTAAAGTATAAGAAGCTAATTCTTTCATTGAAACTTGCCACAGTGGATAAGAAAAATTAAAGGTCTTCCATAGGGAGGCAAGGGAGGAAAGAGCACAGGTAAGCCAAGAAGAAATATGCTTTTGCTTTCCAACTTTACTATTTTAAATTTTTTCTCTCCTTGGTCCCAATCAATCTGTTATAAAAGGTGCCATTTCGGGATTCACTGGGGCTGCTACTTCAGCAGGTTTCTGCTGTACACGCAGCCTCCTGGTCTTCTCCTCCACGTCTTTGCTATCTTCTCAACGAAATTCCAGTGCAGCGGACCCGAGGGAATCCAGTAGCTTGCAACCTCACCCACAAGCTCAGCCCAACTTCGCCCTAACCCTGGGGTGGCAGACTACCCCCTGGGCTGGTCAATCTGGAGACCTCCACACTCTACTTTCATACCGGCTGGCTAGAGAGAGACGAGCGACGTCGACTCCAGCCCCAGCTCCACCTGCCTCACGTTCCCGCTTAGCACTTCGGAACTGCTCAGTACTTCTGCAATCTGAAGATTCCTACGTTCGCGTGAAGGGCTTGGGCTCAGATTCGCCTTCTTTGAAGGGGTTTGGAGGATCCTCCCTACGACCACACCTCATAGAAAATGCAAAGGAATACCACAAAATTAAACAGCTGCATTGAGAAAGAGCTGAGGGCAAGCTTGCTTGCTGGAGACAGGGAGTAGGGAAAGGCGACAAAAAGGTGGATAGCACATTAAAGTGCCCCAAGGTTATGGATCCAGGGGGATCCGCTTCTCAGAAAGGCTTTAGACATTATGGGAATCAGTGGTTGCTTCTCCCCCAAA